TTTACATTGATAGCAAGCTGGATGCAGGGTCTGTTTTTGACGAATTCGGCAAGGCGAAGCAAACCAAACCAAACCATGGCTTGCTCGCGTTTTCCGTCGAAAATGCACCTTATGTATTTGTGTATGTGTATGTATGTGCTTATTGTTATTCAAATCTACATATATATGTATATCCTATATGGGATATATATATATATATATATATATATATATGTGTGTGTGTTGTGTGTGTGTGTGTGTGTGTGTGTGTGTGGTGTGTGTGTGTGTGTGTATTTAAAAGTATATGGTTTCTGTGCGTGCGCGCGTGTGTGTGTATGTTAGTGCGCGTATGTGTTCTTTTGTCTCTCTATATAAATAGTGATCATACAGATGATGGAAAATATCTGTAAGAATAATTACTATTTAGGCATTTTTCGCAAGGTTTCACCGAAAGCAATAATTTCAGCTAAGTTGAAAACTAGAAGTTTCACAAGATTTCGAATCAGGATGATGCCAAGCGTGCCATAGTGATGCGTCCAGAAGAGGTGGAAAGTGGGCGCACACCCAACTCGCGCCACATAAAAGCTCAGCAGCCGCCTCTCGCCAGACACAACGGAAACAACACTCGGTGAAAGAACAAAGCAAGCTGTAGCTTTATCTGCATTTCCACGAGTCTTACTCTACCATATTGAAACGATAAACGAAAGAGAAATATGGAGAACAAAAATACTACCTCCCTTGCTGAACAGAAACTAGAAGCTCCCAAATGCAAAGAGGATTCACTTCTCCCATTGCTGAGAAGGGACTTTTTTTCCACGATTCCTTCTTCGAGGATATTCGGAAGCACTTTGAGACAGCCATCGACCAAATGCTGGACACTTGGGAGAAACCAAATCCGTGAGTGATCTGATGAGTAGCTACAGACGTGTAGAGACCGCAATTTGCAGCAGGAGAACCAAGTCATGGCCTTCAGCGAGACGACCACAATCATAAGGTAAGTTCTACAATCTAAAATACATGTGGATCGCAAACAAATAATTTAAACATTCATTTACATGAATAGAAAGTTGTTTTAAAAACTTTTCAAAATTAAGATTAGGTTTAAAAAGAGTATTTAGATATTCATTGATATAAAAATGAAGACAGAAACTAGAAAAATAAATACTACTCGATTCTATATACAGGTTGTACTGGATGTCCATGACTTCAAGAGTGGTGACGTTAAGGTCAGAGTGGAAGATAATCAGGTGGTGGTGGAAAGGTCGTGGAAAAGGAAGAGGGCGACTACAAGTCCTTGAAAAGCTTCTGTCGATGTTTCAACTTCCCAGGCAAAGTGGACATGGAGGCCGTGACTTCCGCAATGTCTTCCGATGGCGTGTTGACTGTCACGGCTCCGAAGATTCCACAGGCAGCATAGAAAACATATATATTAACTCTGATCGTAACATAATCTTTAAGACAATGTATGTTTCAGTAACTTATTATTTAGGATAATCAAAGGAATAAGACATTTTTAAAAATAAATTATATTTGTTTATATGCCTGTTTGACTTTACTTGCCTTCCTTTCTCGCGAACTTAACAAAAAAAACACCGACTGTCATAGATTGCATAACAGGTAGTTCTCCGAAAGCACTGAAGAACAATAACAGTACCAAATGCAAAGAAAATCACTACTTCCAACTGTTGTGACCTGTGGTTCCATCATTATTTTTCGAATATGCTAGTAAAACTTAATAATGGTCTACCGAGCTGTCGCAATAGATGCATAACAGATGGTTCTTCGAAACTCTCGAGGAGATAACCTTTACCAAATGCAAAGATGATCCACTATTTGTATCAGTTGTGACCTGTGCCTTCGTGTCCCTTGATATACAATTATGTCTCCGTTTGTACATATACATATCTGTCCTCACACCAATACACACAAAGTATGTTTGTGTGTGTAGTTAATTTCAGATTTCATGAAAATTCTTGAAACATCCTTCTTGGTCAGACATATTGGTCTGGTTTCGTAACCAAACTAAGCATTTTCAAACTGAATCCAGAGGAAGTCTGCTACACTTTGATGACGTCACAATAGTAGTAAACAGACCGACAACGTGGCCGAATGAAATGGATGACAACGATGAAATTCTCGTAATAATTTCCTTATTTTGTTGCCAATAGATGATGTTATAGCAAGTTGTTATAGCTGTACCTACCAGAAGTATTAAATGGAGTATATTGATAGCTTTATTTTCTCAAGATGAAAGTACAAGCTATTTACAATTGTATTATGGCTATCATGGTATGTTCAAAGTGCGTTTTTATTTACGTATGTTTTTTCCATTCTAAACTTGCAGTTGAAAAACACATCTTTGTTATGAATGGTAGATATTATCCTTTTAGATTCGCTCTAAAGTCTGTGGACTATTATTTTTTTCTTTTTATAACTTTTGCGCGACACAATATGTAGATGATATTTAGAAATCTTATTTCGTTTATCTTCTTCAGTTAATGCAAAACCACGAAGAAAAGATTTCTTCGCCGGTAATTTCACTTAAATTACTAACAGCGTCTACTGTTCTCTTCTCCGAATGATTCTGTCTCTCACCATTTCGTATTGCGGTCGTTTGTTTACATTGATAGCAAGCTGGAAGTTAGTCTGTCTTTGACGAATTCGGCAAGGCGAAGCAAACCAAACCAAACCATGGCTTGCTCGCGTTTCTCGTCAAAAGTGCGCATTTGTGTTTGTGTGTGCGTATATATGTGCTTACATATAGACGCTTACATATATATGCATATCTCTATATGTGTGTTTATGTATATATGTATATATTTTATATTAAAAGTATATATATGTGTGCGTATGCGTGCATGCGTGTGTGTGGGTCAGTGCGAGTATGTGTTCTTGTGTCTCTTATATAATGACCATTCATGGAAAATATCTATAAGAATAATTACTATTTAGGCATTTTTCGCAAAGTTTCACCGAAAGCAATAATTTTAGCTAAGTTGAGAACTAGAAGTTTCACGAGATTTCAAATGAAGATTGCCAAATGTGCCATAGTCCCGCGTCCAGAAGGAGGTGGAAAGTGGGCGCACACCCAACTCGCGCCACATAAAAGCCTCAGCAGCCGCCTCTCGCTAGACACAACAGAAACAACACTCGGAGAGAGAACAAAGCAAGCTGTAGCTTTATCTACATTTTCACGTTTTACTCTACCTTATTGAAGCGCTAAACAATAGAGAAAAATGGAGAAGAAAGGTACTGACGCCCTTCCTGAACAGAAACCAGAGGCTCCGAATGCAAAAAGGATTCGCTTCTCCCCATCGCTGAGAAGGGACTTTTCTTCCACGATTCCTTCTTCGAGGATATTCGGAAGCACTTTGAGACAGCCATCGACCAAATGCTGGACACTTGGGAGAAGCCAAATCCGTGAGTGATCTGATGAGTAGCTACAGACGTGTAAGAGACCGCAATTTGCAGCAGGAGAACCAAGTCATGGCCTTCAGCGAAGACGACCACAATCATAAGGTTAGTTCTACAATCTAAAATTTACGTGAATCGCAAATGCACTGATTTAATTCATCTACATAAATAGAAAGTTGTTTCAAAAACTTTTCAAATTGAAAATTAGCTTTAATAAAACCATATAGGTCAAGCAAACAGAGTATTTGATATTCATTAATAAAAAATGGAAGACAAAAAAGCTAAATAAATACTACTCGATTCTATAAACAGGTTGTACTAGATGTTCATGACTTCAAGAGTGGAGACGTTAAGGTCAGAGTGGAAGATAATCAGTGGTGGTGGAAGGTCGAGTGGAAAAGGAAGAGGGCGACTACAAGTCCTTGAAAAGCTTCTGTCGACGTTTCAACTTCCCAGGCAAAGTGGACATGGAGGCCGTGACTTCCGCAGTGTCTTCGATGGCGTGTTGACTGTCACGGCTCCAAAAGATTCCACAGGCAGCATAAGAAAACATTTCATTAACTGAAACTATCATTTAATCTTAGAGACAATGTATGTTTAAGGAATTTATTGTTATTTTTGATAATGTTAAAATGGATAATGCTTTTGTTCTTTTGTAAATAAATTGTATTTGTTTACATGTCTGACTTTACTTGCCTTCCCTTTCCGCGAAACTGTTTAGATAACAGATGGTTTCCTAGGCAGGAAGTACTTTAAATATATACACACATGCAAATTCAAATTCATATAAATGGTATGTTATAATCCTCTTTCTATCTTCTGTCTCTATATATATGCATATGTATGTGTTTCTGTGCGCGCGCGTTTGTACATATACATATTTGTAGGCTTACATTGTCCTCACACCCATACACACAAAGTAGGTTTGTGTATGTAGAGGCCCATTTTTGACCGCAAGATAATTCAAGATTTCTTGAAAAGTCTTGAACTTCCTTCTTGGTCAGATATCTTGGTCTGGTTTCGTAACCAAACCAAGCTCTTTCTAACTTCCTGCAGAGGAAGTTTTCTCCACTTTCAGGACGTCATAACATCAACATGGCCGACAGAAATGAATGATAACGATGGAATTCTCGTGATAATTTACTTATTTTGTCGGCAATAGATGCTATTATATACAAGCAATTTGTTTTATCTGCCAGAAGTATTAAATGCAGTATATTGATAGCTTTATTATTCTCAAGAAGAAAAGTACTAGCTATTTATAACTGCATTTAACCTATCCTGGAATGTTCGAAGTGCGCTTTTATTTACCCATGTTATAAAGTGCGTGGATGATTTATTTTCTTTTTTCATTACTTTTGTGCGAAACAATATATAGATGATATTTTGAAATTCTTATTTCGTTAATCTTCTTCATTTAATGCAAAACCACGACATGAAAGGATATCTTCGTCGGTAATTTCACTAGAATTACTAACAGAGACCACTCTGTTTTCTTCTGCGAATTATTACGTCACTCATATCTCGTATTGCGGACGTTTGTTTACATTGATAGCAAGCTGGATGCAGGGTCTGTTTTTGACGAATTCGGCAAGGCGAAGCAAACCAAACCAAACCATGGCTTGCTCGCGTTTCTCGTCGAAAATGCACCTTATGTATTTGTGTATGCGTATGTATGTGCTTATTTGTATTCAAAATCTACATATATATATATCTCTATATGGGTATATATATATATATATATATATATATATATATTATATATGTGTGTGTGTGTGTGTGTGTGTGTGTGTGTGTGTGTGTGTGTGTGTGTGTGTATTTAAAAGTATATGTTTCTGTGCGTGCGCGCGTGTGTGTGTATGTTAGTGCGCGTATGTGTTCTTTTGTCTCTCTATATAAATAGTGATCATACAGATGATGGAAAATATCTGTAAGAATAATTACTATTTAGGCATTTTTCGCAAGGTTTCACCGAAAGCAATAATTTCAGCTAAGTTGAAAACTAGAAGTTTCACAAGATTTCGAATCAGGATGATGCCAAGCGTGCCATAGTGATGCGTCCAGAAGGAGGTGGAAAGTGGGCGCACACCCAACTCGCGCCACATAAAAGCCTCAGCAGCCGCCTCTCGCCAGACACAACGGAAACAACACTCGGTGAGAGAACAAAGCAAGCTGTAGCTTTATCTGCATTTCCACGAGTCTTACTCTACCATATTGAAACGATAAACGAAAGAGAAATATGGAGAACAAAAATACTACCTCCCTTGCTGAACAGAAACTAGAAGCTCCCAAATGCAAAGAGGATTCACTTCTCCCCATTGCTGAGAAGGGACTTTTCTTCCACGATTCCTTCTTCGAGGATATTCGGAAGCACTTTGAGACAGCCATCGACCAAATGCTGGACACTTGGGGAGAAACCAAATCCGTGAGTGATCTGATGAGTAGCTACAGACGTGTAAGAGACCGCAATTTGCAGCAGGAGAACCAAGTCATGGCCTTCAGCGAAGACGACCAGAATCATAAGGTAAGTTCTACAATCTAAAATACATGTGGATCGCAAACAAATAATTTAAACATTCATTTACATGAATAGAAAGTTGTTTTAAAAACTTTTCAAAATTAAGATTAGGTTTAAAAAGAGTATTTAGATATTCATTGATATAAAATGAAAGACAGAAAACTAGAAAAATAAATACTACTCGATTCTATATACAGGTTGTACTGGATGTCCATGACTTCAAGAGTGGTGACGTTAAGGTCAGAGTGGAAGATAATCAGGTGGTGGTGGAAGGTCGAGTGGAAAAGGAAGAGGGCGACTACAAGTCCTTGAAAAGCTTCTGTCGATGTTTCAACTTCCCAGGCAAAGTGGACATGGAGGCCGTGACTTCCGCAATGTCTTCCGATGGCGTGTTGACTGTCACGGCTCCGAAGATTCCACAGGCAGCATAAGAAAACATATATAATTAACTCTGATCGTAACATAATCTTTAAGACAATGTATGTTTCAGTAACTTATTATTTAGGATAATAAAAGGAATAAGACATTTTTAAAAATAAATTATATTTGTTTATATGCCTGTTTGACTTTACTTGCCTTCCTTTCTCGCGAACTTAACAAAAAAAAACACCGACTGTCATAGATTGCATAACAGGTAGTTCTCCGAAAGCACTGAAGAACAATAACAGTACCAAATGCAAAGAGAAATCACTACTTCCAACTGTTGTGACCTGTGGTTCCATCATTATTTTTCGAATATGCTAGTAAAACTTAATAATGGTCTACCGAGCTGTCGCAATAGATGCATAACAGATGGTTCTTCGAAACTCTCGAGGAGATAACCTTTACCAAATGCAAAGATGATCCACTATTTGTATCAGTTGTGACCTGTGCCTTCGTGTCCCTTGATATATAATTATGTCTCCGTTTGTACATATACATATCTGTCCTCACACCAATACACACAAAGTATGTTTGTGTGTGTAGTTAATTTCAGATTTCATGAAAATTCTTGAAACATCCTTCTTGGTCAGACATATTGGTCTGGTTTCGTAACCAAACTAAGCATTTTCAAACTGAATCCAGAGGAAGTCTGCTACACTTTGATGACGTCACAATAGTAGTAAACAGACCGACAACGTGGCCGACAGAAATGGATGACAACGATGAAATTCTCGTAATAATTTTCTTATTTTGTTGCCAATAGATGATGTTATAAACTAGCAAGTTGTTATAGCTGTACCTACCAGAAGTATTAAATGGAGTATATTGATAGCTTTATTTTTCTCAAGATGAAAAGTACAAGCTATTTACAACTGTATTATGGCTATCATGGTATGTTCAAAGTGCGTTTTTATTTACGTATGTTATTTCCATTCTAAACTCGCAGTTGAAAACACATCTTTGTTATGAATGGTAGATATTATCCTTTTAGATTCGCTCTAAAGTCTGTGGACTATTATTTTTTCATTTTTTATAACTTTTGCGCGACACAATATGTAGATGATATTTAGAAATCTTTATTTCGTTTATCTTCTTCAGTTAATGCAAAACCACGATAAGAAAAGATTTCTTCGCCGGTAATTTCACTTAAATTACTAACAGCGTCTACTGTTCTCTTCTCCGAATGATTCTGTCTCTCACCATTTCGTATTGCGGTCGTTTGTTTACATTGATAGCAAGCTGGAAGTTGAGTCTGTCTTTGACGAATTCGGCAAGGCGAAGCAAACCAAACCAAACTATGGCTTGCTCGCGTTTCTCGTCAAAAATGCGCCTTATGTATTTGTGTGTGTGTATGTATGTGCTTATTTGTATTCAACATCTACTTATGTATGCATATCTCTTTATGTATTTATATACATACATATATATGTATATATATATATGTGTATGTGCGTGCGGTGTGTGTTAGTGAGCGAATGTGTTCTTGTTCTCTGTAAATGATCTTATAGATAATGAAAAATATCTATAAGAACGAATAATTAGTATTTAGGAAGTTTTCGCAATGCTGTACCGAAAGCATTCATCTCAGTTAAGGTGAAAACTAGAAGTTTCACGAGATTTCGAATGAAGATGTTGCCAGCGTGCCATGATCCCGCGTCCAAATGAAGGTGGGAAGTGGGCGCACACCCAACTCGCGCCACATAAAAGCCTCAACAGCCGCCCTTTGCCAGACACAACCGAAACAACGCTCTTTGAGAAAAAGCAAGCTCTAGCTTTATCTACATCACCGCAAGACGTACTCAATCTTACTAAAGTGATAAGCGATAGAGAAATATGGAGAACAAAAATACTAACGCCCTTGCTGAACAGAAACCAGAAGCTCCCGAATGCAAAGAGGATTCACTTCTCCCCATTGCTGAGAAGGGACTTTTCTTCGACGATTCCTTCTTCGAGGATATTCGGAAGCACTTTGAGACAGCCATCGACCAAATGCTGGATTCTTGGGGAGAAGCCAAATCCGTGAGTGATCTGATGAGTAGCTACAGACGTGTGAGAGACCGCAATTTGCAACAAGAGAACCAAGTCATGGCCTTCAGCGAGGACGACCACAATCATAAGGTTAGTTTTACAATCTAAAATCCATGTGCATTGCAAACACACTGAATTACATAGATAGAAGAAAAAAGTTAATTAAAAACTTTTCAAATTAAAAGCTAGGTTAAAAATCTACGTTACACAGTGTATTTACATATTCATTAAAATCAAAGTGGAAGAAAAACTATAAAAATAAATACTCGATACTATATACAGGTTGTACTAGATGTTCATGACTTCAAGAGTGGAGACGTTAAGGTCAGAGTGGAAGATAATCAAGTGGTAGTGGAAGGTCGAGTGGAAAAGGAAGAGGGCGACTACAAGTCCTTGAAAAGCTTCTGTCGACGTTTCAACTTCCCAGGCAAAGTGGACATGGAGGCCGTGACTTCCGCAATGTCTTCCGATGGCGTGTTGACTGTCACGGCTCCAAAGATTCCACAGGCAGCATAGGAAAACATATTTCATTAACTGAAACTATCATCTAATCTTAAAGACAATGTGTTTAAGGAGCTATTTATTGTTATTTTTTATGTTAAAATAAATAATGATTTTGTTATTTTATGAATAAATTGTTTTTGTTTACATATACGACTTTACATGCCTTCCCTTTTCGCGAAACTGTTTTGATAACAGATGGTTACCTAAGTAGGAAGTACTTGAAATGTATACACACATATACATATGGTATGTTATAATCATCTTTCTATCTCTTTAAATGTGCATATATGTACACTTATATTGTCCTCACACCAATACACACCATGTATGATTGTGTATGTTCAGGCGCATTTCTGACCGTATGATGATTCAAGAATTTTGAAAATTCTTGAAACATCCTTCTTGTCAGATATCTTGGTCTGGTTTCGTAACCAAACATTTTCAAACTTCCTCTCTGCTACACTTTCATGACGTCACAACAGTAAACAAAACGACAACGTGACCGACGGAAATGAATGACAACGATGAAATTCTCGTGATAATTTACTTATTTTGTCGCCAATAGATGATGATATATACTAGCAAATTGTTTTATCTACCAGAAGTACAAGCTATTTATAACTGCATTTTGGCTTTCCTGGGAAAACCATAATACAAGTGCGTTTTTATTTACCGATGTTATTTCCATTCTAAACTCCCAGTTGAAAGACCCATCTTTGTTATGAATGGTAGATATTATCCTTTTAGATTTGCTATAAAGTGTGTGGACGATTATTTCTTTTTCTTTTCATAACTTTTGTGCTATGCAATATGTATAAAGATATTTGAAATTTGTTTATCTTCTTCAGTAAATGTAAAACCACGACAAGAAAAGATTTTCGTCGGTAATATCACTAACATTACTAACAGCATCCACTGTTCTCTTCTGCGAATAATTCTGTCACTCACCATCTCGCATTGCGAACGTTTGTTTACATTGATAGCAAGCTGGAAGTTGGGTCTGTTTTGACGAATTCGGCAAGGCGAAGCAAACCAAACCAAACCATGGCTTGCTCGCGTTTCTCGTCAAAAGTGCGCATTGTGTGTGTGTGTGCGTATATATGTGTGTTACATATAGACGCTTACATATATTGCATATCTCTATATGTGTATATATGTATATATGTATATTTATATTATTTAAATATATATGTGTGTGTGTGTGCGTGTGCGTGTGCGTGTGTGTTAGTGCGAGTATGTGTTCTTGTGTCTCTCTATATAATGACCATTCATGGAAAATATCTATAAGAATAATTACTATTTAGGCATTTTTCGCAAAGTTTCACCGAAAGCAATAATTTTAGCTAAGTTGAGAACTAGAAGTTTCACGAGATTTCAAATGAAGATGTTGCCAAATGTGCCATAGTCCCGCGTCCAGAAGAGGTGAAAGTGGGCGCACACCCAACTCGCGCCACATAAAAGCCTCAGCAGCCGCCTCTCGCTAGACACAACAGAAACAACACTCGGAGAGAGAACAAAGCAAGCTGTAGCTTTATCTACATTTTCACGTTTTACTCTACCTTATTGAAGCGCTAAACAATAGAGAAAAATGGAGAAGAAAGGTACTGACGCCCTTCCTGAACAGAAACCAGAGGCTCCCGAATGCAAAAAGGATTCGCTTCTCCCCATCGCTGAGAAGGGACTTTTCTTCCACGATTCCTTCTTCGAGGATATTCGGAAGCACTTTGAGACAGCCATCGACCAAATGCTGGACACTTGGGGAGAAGCCAAATCCGTGAGTGATCTGATGAGTAGCTACAGACGTGTAAGAGACCGCAATTTGCAGCAGGAGAACCAAGTCATGGCCTTCAGCGAAGACGACCACAATCATAAGGTTAGTTCTACAATCTAAAATCCATATGGATCACACTCACTAATTTTAATATTTATTTAAATGAATAGAAGAAAGAAGTTACAGAAACTATTCAAATTGAATTTTAGTAGTTATAAGTAAAGGAATATTTAGATTTTATAATTATGCAAAGGGAAAAATTAGAAAAGTAAATACTACTCAATCATATACAGGTTGTACTGGATGTTCATGACTTCAAGAGTGGAGACGTTAAGGTCAGAGTGGAAGATAATCAGGTGGTGGTGGAAGGTCGAGTGGAAAAGGAAGAGGGCGACTTCAAGTCCATGAAAAGCTTCTGTCGACGTTTCAACTTCCCAGGCAAAGTGGACATGGAGGCCGTGACTTCCGCAATGTCTTCCGATGGCGTGTTGACTGTCACGGCTCCGAAGGTTCCACAGGCAGCATAAGAAGACATTTCATTAACTGTTATTGTAATCTAATCTTAAAGTCGATGTATGCTTAATAACTAATTATTTTTGATAATGTTAAAATGAATAAGATTAGTTTTCTTTAAATAAATTGTATTTCTTCATATGCGTGTTTGACTTTCCTTGCCTTCCTGCCGACTGCCGGATAAATTGCATAACAGATGGGTCTTCGAATCTCTTGAAGAAAAATAACAGTACCAAATGCAAAGTGAAATCACTGCTTCCAACTGTTGTGACCTGTGCTTTCATCATTATTTTTCGAAAATACTAGTAGAAATGAATAATGGTCTACCGAGCTGTTGCAAAGATTGCATAGCTGATGGTTCTTCGAAAACGATGGCCAAATAGATAATACCACAAGTAGCCTAAAAAACACATTTCATTTGCTGAAATTATAATCTAATTTTAAGATAATGTAAGAGATTAACTCATTATTGTTATTTTGGATAATGTTAAAGTATATATATATTATAGTAGATTAGTTTTGTTTGCCTTCCTTTTATGCCAACTTATTAAAAAACAATTTATTGTTTATTGCAACATAGTTTTCATAATAGATGGCTCTTCGAAAAGAAGGGTTCACTTCCGATTGCTATGACCTGTGCTCTCATAATTATTTTTCAATGAAATAGCTAGCGAATCTAACAACAACAAATAATTAAAATGTATATATTCCATTAATACATTTGACAAACAGATAAACACACACATATATGTGTTTGTCTGTTTGTGTGTTTGTGTACGCATTATGTATATATATATATATATATATATATATATA